CGGCGGAAATGAGAGAGCAGCCCCAGTCCTCCGAGCAGCCCCACTCCTCCAAGCAGCCCGCGGCGCCTGCTCGGCACCCTGGGGCCCGAGGAGCCAAGAGTGGGGAGATGGGGGAAACCCTGGGGGGATTTGCTCTGCCCCGGCCCCCGCGTGCTCCGCTCGACGCCCGGGAAGCAGAAGTGGCTGCAGGGGGTTACGAGAGTGTGAGATCCTGGGGTTTCGGGTCAGCCGGGGCAGAGCAAGGCAGCAGCAAGCCTGGTCTGCTCCGGTACCACAGCAGGGCTGCTGGTGCTGGGCAGAGCTGGCCCCCGGCCCCGAGGATCGTCCTGGGGAGCGCAGCATGGAAATACCGTCAGTGTCTCTCACTGCCAGGCTTCAGGAAGTTCAGGCTGGCCAAAGGTCCCTGGGGTGGCTGGGATCACGTTTAACCGTGCCGCAGCCGGGCCAGTGAGGAGGTGACAGCAGCAGCACACCACAGGACATGTCCCTCCCAGGCGGCTCTGCACTGAACCCCTGCCACGGGGAGCCAGCAGCCGAGAAACCCCCCGTGTGCTGGGGGGTGGCCACACTCCGGCGCCTCGGGGCCGGGCTGGGAGTGGAGGGTGGGCTCATTTGTTTCCTCCACTCGGCTGAGCATTTGCCTGCAGCCGCTTGGCCCTGAGAAAGGCAGTGGAGAGGAATCCCACGGCAGCCGGCGGCAGATGCCTGCAGAGAGAAAAACCAGGGCGAGCGTGTCGCGGTACGGCCCCAGGACGGGGGGGGGTCCATCGCCTGCAGCATCAACGCGGCACAGCCCTCCCCTTGGCAAGGGGGTTCTGAGCGACACAGCCCTGCAAGCGTGCGTGTTTGGGGGGAAGGGGGGGAACGACACTTTTTGGGAGCGCTGCCCTAAGTCAGGAAACAAAACCCAGCTCCAAGAGGGCTGGTTTGAGCACGGGACCGTGATAAGGAAGAAAGGCAGCAGCAAAGGAAACAGCCGGAGCTGCTTTTGGGTACGGCGGATCCTGGCAGCGCCTGCAGGATGGCAGGGTGCAGGCAGCACCGTCGCAGGCAGCACCATCGCACCCCAGCTGCCTCCTCCTGGCAGGGCCCTTTGCGGCTCGGTGTGACGTTAGGGGAGCTCAGGCTGGAGGGGGGAAAGCAGAAAAGAGCCAACATCTGTTTGTGTTGAAGCCATCCAGCATTTTTTGCAGACATCAGCCAAGCGGCAGCAGCAATGCCATTGGTGGGAAGACGGAGTTATTTGGGGAATGCTGGACTCCGCACCATGAGAACAGCAGGGGAGGAGGTTGGTTTTAATTTAACAGGCCATGTTTACTCTTCCCCTCTCACCTTTGGACTGTCTGAAATGTGCAACGAAAGCCCCAGTGGGGAGAAAGGGGCCACGGGTGCTTCCCCCTCCCCACGGCTGCTCCCAGGGCCCCCCCCCCCAGCCCCGCTGCTCTGCAGCGCCTGAGTGCAGCAGCCTCCCACATTGCAGACCCCAAGCAGGTTTTTCTCACGCAATAAAAGAACAGGCAGATGCAAAGCCTCAAAAATACCCAGCTTTAATCTGTAAACTTGCAAAGAGAGACCCGGGAGCAGAGCGGAGCAGAGGCGAAGGAGGCACCAGGGCTGCTGAGAGACGAGCGGTTCAGGCGCAGAGCCAGGGAAGATGCTGGCGGGGACGGATGTGCTAGCCAGTCCCCGACTCCCACGTGCAGCGGTGCCATGCCCTCCACAGCTGCCCTTCGCATCAACTCTTCAGCTGCATAACCAAATATTCACCGACTCACCACCCTGGGTAGTGCTCGGGGGAGCTGGCAGTGTGCTGGAGGGGTCGGCAAGGCCAGGCTGAGCACCGGGGATGTGCCACAACGCGGGGCCCAAGCCTTGCACCCTGCACCCCGCCGGTGCCCAACGTAGCAGCGTTTGCTGGCTGAAGCATCTCAGGCATCTGCTCTCCAGAGAGTGGGTTTCAGCTGCTATTTGCCAGCGGCAGGAAGAAACAGTTGTATTACATGTGCAGCGATGGGAGAGAAACCCAGCCTGCCCTGGGAGCCGGCAGGCACAGCAGCCCCAGGCCACCGCGGGCACCTCCACCCCACCAGCTCCAGCCTGCATGAGGCCGGAGATGGTTTTGTCTGGAGGGATTGAAAAGAAAAAGGCTTTTCTTGTTTTAAAAAAAAAAAAGTCTCTAATTCCTGTGGCTACAAGAGGGGGGAACTAAAGGTTTTTCCAAATTGCCGTGTGTACTAGAAGTGCCCCAAGTGTCGCTTGGGTCTTCCCAGGGGAGCTTTATTTCTCATGCCAGCTGCGCGGGCAGGGAGCAGGCTTGGCTGGACGCTTCCCCATCCCGGCCCTTCCCTCCGGCAGAACCGGGGCACAATGGGGACATCGCTGCCCTCATGGCGGCAGGAGGATAAAAGCCGACAGCAGGAACCACAGCAGCGAGGAGCCACAGCCGAGTGTGGGCACCGGCTGCACCCGGGCGTGGGGCAGCCTTGGGGGCAGAGCCAAGGCTCCCTGGAGGGAAGCCAGAGCCCGGCAGCACTGGGGACGCGGGGGGCTGGATCAGGCCCTTCCAGCCGGACGAGAGTAGTACCGAGAGCGGGGATGGCTGCAGGGGAGGAGAGGGCTGGGGGCTCCACAGGGGCTCAACCATGGCACACACATGGCTCCTCCAGCCGCTCCAAGGGGCCCTCATCCAGGTGCGGGGCCGTATCCTGCATCCTGCTTGGGTGATGTAGACATCTCCGTGGCTCGCTGGCCAGGCTGGCACTCATGACACCGCGGTTATTCCCCCAGTGGCACACAGTAAGCTCCAGGTATTGCCCTGCAGGGCAGCAGGATCCAGCCCCTGGATCCTGGCGCCGGGGCGATGGCTCTCCTCGTCCACGCTCCACTCCGCCGTATTGTCCCATTCACGCTTGGCTTGTCAGAGCCTGGTTCCCTTGGGTGCTCGAGGGCAGGTTTGGGCCCCCACTCTGCCTCCCGCCTGCCTGCGCCCCCGGGGCTGCCGGCTCTTCCCAGCTGCTCTCAGGCGAAGGCACAGCAGCTGGATTTCTTCTTCTGCGACTCGATGTAGTCGTGGATCTGGAAGCGGGGCTCATCCGGCAGCTGCACCGCGCGCTGCTTCAGCTCCCTGGGGTGGTGGGGCCGTGTTACCTCCCCTGCCCGCTCCAGTGCTGGTGCAGGAGGCGGTGGGGCCGGGGGGACACCTCCCTTGCCCAGGTCCCCCAGGTACTTACTTGGCAATGGCCAGGAAGGCCAGCTCCACGTTCATGCCTGTCTTGGCGCTCGTCTCCATGAAAGGCACCCCATACTCCTGCAAGGGCAGCACGGCCCCATCAGCAGCCAGCCCCAAAATGCCCTCCTGCCCCTCTGAATCGTCCCTGTCACCTGGCTGATGCTTGGGGACAAGGTGCCTTGCCCCAGGTTTTATGTGCAAGTGGCTGCCGCGCTGCCCATGCTAGAGCCAGGCGCATCTGGGCACCCATCAGAGGGGATGGCACGGCTGCACAGGGACCCTGAGCGATGTGCAATTGTCTGGGGGGGGCTGCAGCCGGGTTAGACTCCAGCATGGCTCACCCTGGCCAGAGATGCTCCATCCTCCGTCCTCACAGCTCTCTCGCTGCTCACGTCGGCCTACCAAGGGAAGAAAAGTGTCACCGCGTACCAGGGCCAGCTGGCACCCTGAGGGCATCTGGCAACCAGGCAGTGTGGGGTGCGCAGGGGGCTGCCAGGAACTGGGGGCGTCAGGGACCCGGGAACACCCAGTGCCCAGAGGAGAATCCGGGATCTGTTGAGCATCTGGGACCTGGTGGCATCGAGGATGGGGGGGGGAGCATCCAGGACCTGGGACACTGAGGACCTGGGGCAGCATCCAGTACCTGGGGGCATCCAGGACCCAGGGGGGCTTCTGGTACCCTGCTGGGCATCAAGTACCCAGCATCATCCAGGATTCAGGGGGTATCCAGTCCCAGGGGAAAATCCGGTACCCAGTCAGGCATTGGGCACCTGGCAGCATCTAGGACCCCCAGAGAGAATCTGGGACCTGGTTGGGCATCTGGGACTTGGGGATACCTGGGATCTGTGGGTGCCTCCAGGACCTGGGTGGACATCCCATACCCGGCGGCATCCCATTCCCAGCAGCATCCCGTACTGGGAGCCTCAGCCTCGTGCTGCCCCCCACTGGCTGCTGGGGACACCGTCCCCCCCACCCCGGCTCCCCAAACCTCTGGGGTCACGTCTGGGCCCGGCTGAGCCCAGAAATCAGCAGAGCCCGTCAGAGAGTGCAGGCAGGGTGCACCCAGCCGGCAGGCAGAGCGCCCACCGAGCCCCATCCCTCCACAGCCATGGGGACGGCAAGGGCAGGGCCAGACTGGCACGGCACGGCACGGCACAGCAAACCACAGGGTGAAGGGGGACCCTGCACGCACCTTATTGCCCAGCAGCATGATGACCACGTCCTTCTGGGCGTACTCGTGGATCTCTGTCAGCCAGGCCTGCGGGGCAGTGGGGCTACGTCAGGGCGAGCAGTACCCCCGTCCCTCCCCTCTCAGCCCGCACGCCCCCCGCGAAGACTGGGAAAACGGCTTTTTTTTTTGGCATGGGAACCATTCCAGCATCACAGCCGAACAGTCCTGAAAACGCCCCGTCTCCTGGCTACAGCCCAAGCCTACACGTAGTTCACGTCCATCCCAAGCTGCGTTTTCTCCCTCCAGCCATTTACCATGTCCCTAAACAAAGCTCACCCAGCCGTGCAGTGCCCAGCCAGGTGCCATGGGGACAAGCTCCCAGCCGGCTGACTCTGGCTGAAACAGCTGGTTCTTGCATGCAAAACAAGCTTCAAACTTCCCCAAACACCCAGCAAGCCACACAAGGCACCCACGACCCCAATCCCCAGGGAGAAACACACTCCCAACCGGCGGAGGGGACTCACGCGGATGTTGTCGAAGGACATCTTGCTGGTGATATCGTAGAGCAGGAGCAGGGCTGGAAGGGAAGAGGTAGAGGCATTGCCCCGCTGCAGGGATGTGCTCTGGCCGGTCTCCCCCATCCCCACTGGACCCCAAACCCACCTTGGGCATCCCTGTAGTAGGCGTGGGTGACACTGCGGAAACGCTCCTGTCCTGCCGTGTCCCAGATCTGCCGAGAAGCCGCTCTGGTGAGAGCGTGGAGGGGAACGCCCCTGGCTGGGGATGCCCCTGAGGCTCCCAGCCCACCCACGCTCAGTCCAGGGTTTTTTTTCCAGCAGCACGGCTGGGAATTGCTGACCCCCTCCCAAAGCTCACCTGCAACTTCACCTTCACGCCATCCACAGCCACCACCTTGTTCTGCAGAAGAGAAGGAGAGCACGTTTATCACCCCAAGGCTCATCTTGCCATGGGTGCCAGCAGCCCTGGTATGGAGCCGGCTGTGCCCCGGCCCCTCAGCTGCTCTCCCCCGGCCGGCGGGATGAAGCCAGGCTGCCTGTGGGGCTGGACGTTGAAGCCTCACTGCTACAAACCCTGGTCCTGCTGGGGGGCTGCGATGCCACGTGGCACCTACAGGGACATCCCAGAGCAGCATCCCCTTGTGCCAGGGTGGAAAAGGGCAGAATCAGGTCCTGACGGAGACAGGACAGCAAGATCCCAGCCTGCTTTGGACCTGGTGCCTCGCTCATCTCCTACAGCCAGCGCCCCTGTCCTGTGGCTCCCGAGTCCCCTAACAAGCCGGCTAATGATGCAGGCTGCCCTGCAAAGCCCGGGGACACTGACCTGCTCCGGCTCCCACCGGGCAGCCCCAAGCTTGCAGCAGCCCCTGCCCGCGCGGCCAGGGGAAGTTCGGCAGAGCTGGAGAAGTGGGGAGGGTCTTGCATAAACTACATGCAAATGTGCATCTATTAATAACATCTTGGCCTGCTTTTATGTTTGCCCACCATAAAGCCCTGACCCTTCTGCTAGGATTCCCCTGCTCCATGTGCTGAAAGAACCACTGCTGCACTAAAAATTTGGACTATTTGCAGCAATTTAAGGCCTTCGGATGCTACGAGCTGCCTGGGGATGCTCAGTGGGCAATGCTGGGTGTCCAGCTCAGGTTTCCTTGCTGGTGGGAGCCTCGCTTGGCCCTTAAAAGCGGTTGCACACACTGAGCTGGGGGGTTGCAGGCAGCACATAGCTTTATCCAGCACGGCAGGAGGAAATCTCCCAGGTCAGGGCAGTTTGCAGCCAGGCATTGGGGCCGCTCGACCCTGCAGCCGGGCTGGGACCGGGGAAGGGAAGCAGCATTTGCAAGTGAGGGGGGAAGGCAGTTATCAGAGAGGGCTTAAGCAATCACTGTACTCAACTCGGAAGCGCAGGGACTTCTCTCCAGAGGCCCGAGAAAAGAAAAGCAGGAGTTACCAAAGGGCTATTTTAAGACTCTCAAAGAACTGTACTTGGAGGGACGATTCTGGAAAGAGAAGACCCCTATAAATAATTTAGTTGCCTGGAATTGTTTGAAATGGAAATTCAGGCCATGTGGAGATGATAAAAGTTGAGAAAATGGGTTGAATAAAACAAAAAATGTGCCCTAGGAGACGCTGAAAATTATCTACCAGCAGCAAGACGTGAGCTGCTGGAGGGGATGCTTGCATGAGGTGGAGCAGGTACCTACAAACTGGCAACACCCCTGGGGCCGCCGGTGCTGAGCCCAGCAGTGGGACCCAGCAGATTTTCCTTCTTTCACGACTTTATTGGAAGGACAAGCTACGAGACCCCTCCAAAGCAAATCCACAGCCCTCTCCCCCCAGCCCCCGCTCACCAACCCCCCCAATTCCCCCTTGAAAGCCAGGAGCAGCCCGGGCAGGAAAGGCAGAAGAAAACCAGAGCAGCTGCAGCTGCAGCGGCAGAGGAAGCGCCGACCACGCTCGACACGTGTCGGCAGCCGCAGGCAGAGCCCTGCCCGGGGACACCCCCTGTGACTTCCAGCCTGCTGAAATGCCGCTCTACCCTGTGCTGCGAACAGCTCTGCCTGCCCGTGCATCCCCAGAGAGACCCTGCAGCTGAAATTTGGTGAACAGAGAGCAGCGGGAGGGTTTAAACGGGATCTGGTGACCTTAACAACTCCTCAGCAGTCAATTTCAGCCCTTTCAAGGCACAAAATTACAGCAACCAGCGTTTGTCCCCGCCAGCCGTTGACCTCAGCCTGGCCAGTGGAGCGTGCCGGCCACCCACCAGACACCCCCAGCCCATGCACGCAGCCAGGATGGGTAAACTGAGGCTTTTTGCTGATTTAAAGGCAAGAGGTGACATTCCCAGCGGGCTCTTCTGTCTGTTACCACGCTCCCAGGGAGAGGTGGAAGGGTTTCAGCAAGCGTCTACAGCTGGTTAGGAGACTATTTGGGGTTTGGGGTGCAGAGGCTGGGAACCCCCCATCCCCCCTTCCCAGCGCCCCGTCCTGGCCGAGGTGTGGGTCAGGGGAGGCGAGGGGCCAGCAGCCGTGGTGGTCTCACCCGGAAATCTATGCCCACGGTGGCTATGAACGTCCTGGAGAGAAAGGCCCCGTCTTTGAACTGGAGTAGGAAGCAGGTTTTCCCCACGCCCGAGTCTCCAAGTAACATCACCTGCAAGATGGGCGCAGGGAGAGGTGTCAGCGGGACGGGGAGGGGGCAGCATCCCTGGGTGGTGCTGAGCCCCCCACGGTCCCTTGTGTCCCTCCGTTTCTTTCCCCAGGGCTGGTCCTGCTGAGCCTGGGGAGCCCCGTGAGAGCTGGGGGTGGGATGGGACCCCTGAGGGTGCAGGGGACCCCCGAGGGTGCAGCCAAGCAGTGCCCCAGGGCAGCGGAGCAGCCCCCAGCCACCGAAGAGGGGGAGAGCAGAAGAGGAGAGCTGGTGGGAAGGCAGGTACTGCAGCAAGAATAGATGTCTCCTGGCCGGCCCCTGGCTGTCTCCCAACCCAGGAGGTTTCTTGGAGAACCGGCCACAGCTCCCGGACACATGGAGCCACCTCCACCCCCGGCCCGGGTGTGCCCAGCCCGAGAGCTAATGCATGGCTTGGGCAAACCCCGCTGTGTTCAGGACTCTTGCCCTGTTGGTGCACATGGCTTGGGCAAACCCCACTGTGTTCAGGACTCTTGCCCTGTTGGTGCCCAGGGCCCTGCCTGCCGCAGACACCAAAGCAAACACGGTGCCTTTTCCCCTCCTGCTAAGCAAACAGGCTCAGCCTGGGCTCCCTGGCTGCTCCGGCACCGCTGAACCCAGGCAGGCAGCAGCCAGCGCCGATGCCGGTCTCTGTAAGCACAGCCTTACCCGATGCCTCGAGGCTGTCCTCTCCTCCCTGCTCCCCGGCAGCAGTCCTTTCCTGCCCGGCAATAATTAACCTGATGCTGACTGCATCTATCCCCTGCCTAAAAATGGCAGTGAGCAGGACTCCAGCAACAAGGTCCATCCCCGCAAGCCCACCCTCCCGGGACGCTGGAGCCTGCAAAGCAAACCCACGCAGCCCCACTGCCCCTGGGCTGGGTGAACACAGCGAGCCGTGGCCACCCTCTGCAGGGATGGCACAGCAAACACCCCTTGGGCCAGGACGGCCAGGGCTGGGGGCTGGAAATGCTCTGCCTCCTGCCAATCCACTTTGGGGGTCAAATCCTTCCCTGGGACACCCCTGCCCAGCCCAGGCTGGAGGGCAGCTGGGAACACCACCCAGTTCTGCCTCCACCTCACTCCAGATCAAGCTGGCAACTGATTTCCTCCCTCATACACAAAAATTTCCCTCCAGTATCAGCCCGTGAAAGGAGTCAGAGTGAAGAGGATAAAGGTGAAGGAATAAAAGCGGTTTAGGGAAGGTGGCAGCGCACAGGACCGCTTTGGGACCCGGCTCAGCGAGGCAGCGGGAGGTCTCGGGCCTGGCACCATCGGCGCTGGGCTCAGCCTGGGGCTGCGTATTAAATTTTTCAGGTAAAAGGTTCATCGGCCCTGTGCCTCCCCTGTGCCGCTGGGAAGAGGAGGGTGCTTCCCTGGTGCGACCCTCAGCTGAGCTGGGCTGGGGAAGAGGGGGGCACTCAGGGAGGAGGGTTCCTACCCCAATATCTGGCAGGGGCGCGGGGGCGTCTGCAGTGCAGGGGGCTGTGGGGTGGATGTGGGGCCCTGGGCTGGCTCAGCTCCAGGGCACACAAGCTGCCCCCCTCCCCGGTGCCCTTGGGATGCTGCGATGGGCTGGATGGAGTCTTGCTTCCCCCGCCCTGTATCATGGTGGGCACCGCTGCTGCGGCTGGCAGGAGCCCCCCTTGCCCGGAGAAGGGCAGGACAGGCTTTCAGAGGGCAGAGCTCGGCCGTGCCCCCCCCAGGGAGTCCCACTGCCCACCAAGCCGAGAGCCCCAAAAGCCCTATTCCTGCAGCTGGGTCACCGGGGCCGGGATGCCCATCGCCACCTCGGGGCAGGGACACACCCGGGTCAAAGA